TATGTGTATGAATAAAGACATGTATTTACATATATTGTAGTGTGTGGTTTGTTCATTTTTCTATACAATTATTTGTTCTTATGATTTATAATTAATTTATGTTCAGGGAAGTATAAACACATATGCTCTGACGTGTCTCTCTCTTTTACTTTTGTTTATTCACATTTTATTGTTTTTACATTAAATGTCTATCTAGTATATATATATTTTTTGTGTTTTTGTACATATTTATTTTTTATTATTCGGCTGCATTGTCATCCTCTGTGATTCGTTGTTGTATGTATTTTCCGTCCAGAACGATGGCCTCGGAGCTATACGTCACTGCTGTAACGTCTTCGCTACACGTATGTATTTGGTGGTGTATGTTCAATCTATAGTAACATAACACATAATAAATAACTAGATTGTATATACTTCTTATTACTTATTATATTTATTTTATTTGTTGTATTTTTATTTTATTCAATTACGTGCAATTTATTTAATGTGTTTTTTAATATATTGTAATGTTATTCATTATATTTACTTCATTTATTTTATTTATTTATTTATTTATTTTTTCTTGTGACACTTACAGTTGTTGTAGCAGGATTGTCTCTTCCGCAGGATTTGGCGTTATCACAAAGAAGAACCCTTTTCCGCTTTTCGTATTCGTTTAGCTGATCTTCTTCACTTCTGTAATTTGTTTAGCCAACTGTTTAGCGTTATAGATCAGAGCTTCGGCTGCAGCTACAACACGGTCCGCTGCATCAACGCACTCGTCTAGTCTATCCATTGTTGTGCTTTTAAAACTTTCTACATAGTTGCTCTGCGTGCATCATCCTTTTATAGTTTGTTGCAGCGGATGCAGATCCCCAGCATGTGCACCAGTTTTTCCACGAAAGATTAATTTCATTAACATTGTGCGGTTGGACACATTTTTGTGGATATTTACATATCCTACAGGACGTTCTAATCAGAACTATTTCTCTTAGAAACAGTACTAAGAACAGTAGAGCGTCTCCGCAATATCCGCAGCATTCTGATTAAGTCTGTGCGTTATTCTTAGCGCGCGTCTTGGATTTGCGAGATCAGCCGCAACTTCCGGATGCAGCTCTATATAAAACGTCTCAAGACTTGCAGAGTTTTTACGCTTCCGCTGCAGCCGTCTGGCGCGCGTTGCGGTTTTCCTTGTACTAAATATATACAGGGTCCGCCACTTAAATCCGGACAAAAATTTTTTTCTCGAAAAAGTTGTTTATTACAAAAAATATGAAAAAACATAAATAGACTGCTTTATAGCTGGGTTAAGGGATCTTTTCTGAGACATTTTACTCAATGTATCC